AAAACACCACCGGTCTGTTCCAACTGGAGGTATTTGTCTATCATAGCTAAAATAAAAAGAATCACCACCACATCTCTTACAGACTGCCGTACACCTACGTGTTACCCCAAAATGTGACCGTTGCCCAATACAAGTGAAAAACAAGTATCACACAAGCATATCCCAACAAAAGACAAACCCATGTTATATAAAAGATACCAATCAACCAAACTCCTCTCCCAAATAGGCACCAAGCAATTCTACACAGGTTCGTCAAATATCCTGCTAAGTCACAAGGAAGCCGCATCCAACGCGTCCACGCCCATGGATTTCGCAACAAAGTCCAAATCAAAGGAACGAACGGGGAACAGAGAATGAGTTCAACCCACGGCACAGAGTCTGACATGAAAGTCAGGATTATCCTAGCTCAAACCTCCATATGGTGATGTATGCTGGGTAAAGGTCCCAGAAAACACTAGGTTTTTCATTACGGGTTGTTAGTTGAGGTTTTTGCGGCCTCTCTTTTTGGTGTGCGTAATCAAATGAGCCGAGTCTTCTTGTGAAAAAAAAAAAAAAAAAAAAAAAAGAGAGATATGAGAGAAGGAACAAAAAAAAAAGAAAAAAGGTTCAAGTGTATATCCCCGGAGAGAGTGACAAGATGCTCGAATAGCAAATGAATGCATCTTGCTGCTGCGAGGCCCCTTTCAGGCCCTACCATGCAGCACGTCGGCCGCTCTAAGTGAAGGCAGGCTCGACGAGGGCCTGAGGGCCCTTATTTTGGTCACCACGCAACTTAGGAAATTCAGGCAGTTGCGCAGCGCCAGTTGGTTGAAGGAACCCACACCCTGGGCAGCCTGTGTGAATGTATTGAAGGCAGGCCCTGGGTTGGATTCGGGATGTGGGCCTAACACAGGCCGATGACAGTTGGGCGCGAGCAACCGCTACAGGCCCAAGGCCTGAGATGTGCGGACTGGGCCTCAGCCTACCGGGGCCTACCGGAAGCTTCTTGGGAAAGGCCCAGCGCAGCCTGGGACAGCAAGCAGGCAGGCCACTTCCATATAGCAAAGGGCCTGCCTCTGCATTGGGTATTCGGGTGCTGGCTGCATGCTGCGCAAGCGCTGCTGCGCTATAGCTCGCTGGCACTCACGCGCTCACGGGCGAGCAGGAAGGAGCAGGCAGCCATAGCCGAGCTGTGCTGCTGTAAGCTGGGTGTGGCGCAGGGTGGTCCTTGGGTGCATGTGGCATCTGTGTGTTGGGGAACGAGGGTTGTGAGTGAAGCGAGAGATACCTGGTGCTGGAAGCGTGCGGCGTTGGCCGCTATCTGCTCGTACTTTGGTGAAGCTGTTGTCGTCATCTTCGGCATTGTAGTATAGGCTAGATAGGATCTGCCATCTGTAGTCTGGGCGCCGAGCGCCGGATAGGATATCAACATTGGTTCTTTGTTGATGATGATGATCGGACTATTTCAGCATTGTCAATTATGAACTCTTGGTGTGCTCTTATTTGGTGAAACTCGTGATGCAATTCTGCTGTTGGTTCGAGGTCTCCACTATCTGGTCTCATATGTATGCTGCTGTTTGATTGCTGAAGTTCGCTATTGCTCATCTTCCTTGCACTGCTCTTTGAGGAAGATGAACTCTCTACAGAGGTGTGGTGAGGCCCAACTTTTTATTTTTTCATTATGTTGTCCTCTTTTTGGCTGGATTGCTTCCTCTTTTTTTGTTTTTTTTGTTTTTTTGTTTTTTTGTTTTTTTTGTTTTTGTTTTTTGGCTGGCTTGCTTCCCCTTAGTCTCGTGGCGCACCCCCTGCTTTCCTATCTATAGCCATCAAGCACAATCTGCTCGTACTTCGGTGAAGCTGTTCTCGTCATCTTCGGCATTGTAGTATAGGCTAGATAGGATCTGCCATTTGTAGTCTGGGCGCCAAGTGCCAGATAGGATATCAACATTGGTTCTTCGTTGATGATGATGATGGGACTATTTCAGCATTGTCAATTATGAACTCTTGGTGTGCTCTTATTCGGTGAAACTCGTGATGCAATTCTGCTGTTGATTCGAGGTCACGCCTATCTGGTCTCATATTTGACGTCAAAAAAAAAAAGAAAAAAAAAAAAAGGTCTCATATGTATGATGCTGTTTGATTGCTGAAGTTCGCTATTGCTCATCTTCCTTGCACTGCTCTTTGAGGAAGATGCACTCTCTACAGAGGTGTGGCGAGGCCCAACTTTTTATTTTTTCATTATGTTGTCCTCTTTTTGGCTGGATTGCTTCCTCTTTTTTTTGTTTTTTTGTTTTTTTGTTTTTTGTTTTTTTCTGTTTTTGTTTTTTGGCTGGCTTGCTTCCCCTTAGTCTCGTGGCGCACCCCCTGCTTTCCTATCTATAGCCATCAAGCACACTCATTGTCGAAAGGAAAAAAAATTGTGAGTGCATCTTCCCGTAAAAAATGACCAGATGCATCTGTTTTATGAATTACAACGGATGCATCTCACAATTCCTGAGGAAGATGCATTCGTTTCCTTTATCACTTCCTCAGCCATGTGTTAACGTGAATCTGTTTCACTTAAATGATGATTCTTTGATAAACAGCTTGTATGGTTTCTACCAGTGTGCTGTACTGTGTGCATGTCGTACAGTCTTTGAATTTCCTTCCTTCGCTCCGCTACAGTCACACTGGACGTGCCAAAAAAAAAAAAAAAAAAAAAAAAAAAAGACAAAAATCATGGCCGTGCTAGCTAGCGGGAGATTCACTACTCGCCATCCCCCAAGATTTTGAATGCATCTGGACAAAACGATGTCCACTTGCAATCAAAATGTTGGCGGATGGCGAGTAGTGCGACGAGGCCCTCGGGCACTACCGTCGAGAAGTGCAAAACGAGAGTGAGGGCCTCGCCACACCACTCTTGAAACCGCGTTTTCAAGAGTTGGACGCGTCGCCACACAGCCACTTGAGAGTTGTAGCCCGAAAACTCTTTCGAGAGTTGTCAGAACCTCGTTTCAAGAGTAGCACTCGAAACTCGGAAACTCCCAGCCTGCAGCACGGCTCTTTTCAAGCGTCCTCCGGAGGGCACTCGAAGGGCCCTTGATTTTCGAGAGGTGTCAGGCCGTTATCCTGACGCCATTCGGAAAAAAACAAAGCTGCACTACTGTCGTTTTTCATCGTTTGTCCAACACCGTAGCCCTTTTGAGAGTGCTGTGTGGCGAGGGGCCCGGAACTCTTGAAAACCCAACTCTTGAGAACGTCTGACAGCTCTTGAAAAATTTCCCCGTTTCAAGAGTGGTGTGGCGAGGCCCTGAGGGCCTCGTTCCACTACTCGCCATCCGCCACAAACAGTGGCGAGACTTGGCGAGGCCGAAAACTGCATTTTTCTGGTGGAAAAAGGGTTGTGGTTCCATTACATCGCCGCCGCCACGTGCGCTGTGGTTGCTGTCCCGGCCTGCTCCCCGGACTGTGGCGGATGGCGAGATAATGGAACGGTGGCCGCCCTCTCTTCACCATGTACTCAGCCTGGAAATCACTCCAGGTGCAGCTAAACCTTGCCAACACTAGGGGACAACGGAGGTCGACTGTCAGGACGGCTGTGTCAGGGGCAATGGCCACACAAAGCATTTCGCGGAGGGGTGAGGAGTAGAGCCTCCACGAAGGGCCGTTGCAGGCAGGGGAAATGGAAAGCCTTGGCCGCACATCGCCAAGTGATTTCACACCCAAATTCTGACAGCGTCCATTTCGTGGCTATTGGCCATGCAGTGGAACGAAGTCGTATCCGCCATGCATGGCGGATGGAGAGTAGTGGAACGAGGCCCTGAATCTTCCCGTCGTAGAACATGGAAAGATACACGGCAACCCAAGAGCCTAGCTCAGTGGGGACCACACCCATGAACTGTTGAAAATACAGACCAGGTGCTGTGTTCGAATCCAGATGATGATGGAACCTGTTGATGAGTAAAAGTTGTGAAACCAACTATTTCTGAATTGCCTGGGGCCGGTCAGCTTAATGATGGAGAAAAAAAAAAAAAAAAAAAAAGATACACGGCCATGATTTTTGTCTTTTGTGCATGTACAGAGTTATTACTATAGTGCAGCGAGGCCCATCTATCGTTTTGCACATGTCTACAGTACAGTACAGTACAGTACAGTAGTGGAGCGAGCCCCCCTATCTATCCTGTTCTCTCACGTTGTGAGAGTGATGGGATGGACATTGGCAGGAAGTGGCTCCCAAGTACTGTGTGTGTCTGATCAGAACAGAGAAACTGCCCCCTTTTTTTTTTTTTTTTTTTTTTTCCCTTCCCCGGGCCGGAAATGGGCCGCGCCACGCTTCGCTGCAGTGCAATATGAAGGCAACGCTGGAAGGGGTCGAGTAGGCAAGCCTGCCTACCCCTTTTGTGACCCCTCCATAGCCCTGAAAAATTAATTTAATATCTTGTGGCCCGATGGACCACTACCTTTAGTAGGAATAGAGAGTAATAGAGACTGCAGTGTCGGAATAGAGAGTAATAGAGAAAGCAGAGTCGGTGCAAATAATAGAGAGTAATAGAGACTGCAGCGACGGGGAGAAGGAGCACGTATCGGTGTGAGCAGCGGCGACTTCATCGCGGAGATCCTTTAGTAGGAATAGAGAGTAATAGAGAAAGCAGAGTCGGATAGGACCGACGCGAACGCAAAACACATAGCCGCAAACGCAGCCGAAGCATGTGAAGAAAGATCTCGAAAAATCCGAAGATATACAATGAAGCACATATCATAGCTTTCGCTATGGTTCCTCCGCCATCAAGACTGAGGAGCTGGCATCCCCGACTAGTTTCGGTCGCCGCCAGTAGAGATCCTTTGTATTACTACTAGACTAAGTATTACTTTCTGATCTCCGAGAGACATAGGTACTCACGGAATCAAAGGGAAGTGCAAATAAAATAAAATAAACTAGAATAAAATAAAATAAAATAAAAAATAAAAGAAAGTTAAAAATGAAGTGGTGGTAGTTTTTCTATAGAGACCTTGCTTTGAATAACCATAGCGGAACAGAACAGCGTTGTTCGTTGTTTGTTGTTCTTGTTGCGCCATTCGCAGTCGAGTAATCACTCTCTACCATCATMATGCCGATTGTGGACATGGACATGAATCAGCGGCAGGCGGATGGGATTGGAACGGGGAGATCGAGTCGAAAGATGGGAAGATGGGAACGAGAAGAAGAAGAGGATCCGATTTTCATGGCGTTATCCAATCAGGCGATGGTGGACGGACACTGTCACAACGTCGTAGAGAACAGTCCAGCTATGCGATACGAGCGAGCATTTTCAGAAGCAGAAGGACACGCGCTCGACGATGCGCACCACACACTCTCTTTCAAGGTAAGCCTCGCCTTTTTTTAAAAAAAATAATAATATTCTGAATTTTTTATGCGTCACCTTCGTTTTTTGAATAATATTATTATGAAATTTAAAATTTTGATGCCTCGCCTACCGAATGACGGACGGCGGCTTGCCCAGTGACTGTCTCTGCGCTCTCCTCCTCCCTCGCTCCCTCCCTCCCTCCCTCCCTCCCTCCCTCCCTCCCTCCCTTCAAATTAGATCTCTTTTGCTCTTCTCGCCGCGATCCCAACGTGTTGGTCAATTGGTCAATTGCTGCCGAGTCGGATCGTTAACTTCAACATGCTCTCGCTCCGCGAATCATCAAATGATAGTGTAAAATGAGAATGAATCTTCCGTTAGAACATGGGAAGATGCACCACCATATTTTTTTTTTGTCTTTTGATGCATGTGGAGAAGTGCTGGAGCGAGGCCCATCCCCATTTTCGGGGGAACTATAGAAATATTATAAGATTATCAGTTTTCTAACGTTTCCCGCCGGCAAATGTGTCTCTGTGCTCTTTCCTCCTCCGTTTTTTTTTTTTTTTTTTTCCTACCATTTTCGGAGAAACTATAGAAATAATATATATATATATATATATCGTCATATATATAAACTCCGACGAAACAGTTTGTCACAGCCCCTCGTTTGTTGTCCTCTTCTCCCTCTCTGCCTACGGTTTACCGGGCAGTTCTATTTGACGATATATATATATACGATATATATATATATTTTTCCGTCGGCTTGCCGAGTTGAGCAAATGTATACACGCTGTTTCTAATTAAGATTATTTTGCGTGTACGAGAGCAACGGCCACGTTGTTCCGTCGGCTTGGCCGTTGCTTGTCACTATAATTCTGTCCTCCTCCCGCTCTCTCCCTTAAAATTAGCTCTCTTTTTCTCTTTCCTCACTGAGATCCCAACCTCGATTTTTTTTTTAAATTTCCGTTTTTTTAAACATAACATCGCGGTAGATGGGTTCCTACTGGGGGGCGAGGTCTCATCAGCGAAGAGGCTTGGATTTGACGCCCGAATCTGGACCTGTTTGTGGAAAGGCGCAGAAAATAGCGATCGATCCGCTTGTCTGCATCTCTGCTTTAAACGCATCCACATTCAGTCGCTTATTCCAAATGAATCCCTTTTGCTAGTGGAACCTCGCCCCTGGGTTTGATCGGCCGATAGGACTATTGCGCTGCAGTAGTAGTCAATTGCTGCCGAGTCACTATTTGAAAAAAAATAAAATAATAATAATAAAATAATTAAATAAAATTTTAAAAATTCCTGCCGAGTCGGATCTTGAACTACCGGTAGTCGCGAAATGTGCAATTTGTCCCCCCCCCCCCCCCCCCCCCCCAAAAAAAAAAAAAAAAAAAAAAAAAGGGCAAAATGAGAATGAATCTTCCGATAGAACATGGGAAGGAAGATACGCGGCCATTATTTTTTGTCTTTTGTGCATGTCGTCAGTAGAGCGAGGCCCATTCTCTCTTCTTCTTCTTCCTTTATTTTTTTTTTTGTTTTTTTTTTTTTTGTTTTTTTGAAAGAAATCATGCTCTCCTTTATGGGAATCGGGCCCATCGTCCCTTAGGAAGAAGTGGATGGGGCAGGGGTCCCCACAGTCTCCCTAGTAAAAGAGCCATACCGAGAGCATTACCCGGGGCAAGGTCCCACTTGCACTGATTAAGAGATTCTGGCCGTTGATCTTTGCTATCTACGGTCAATATCGCTTAATTCGTGTAAGTGGGACCTAGCCCCCGGCTTCGCTTGAGATGTCCAACTTAATAACAGGAAGTAGGACCAGCAATTCTCTCTTCTGGAGGTGCCCATTTTCTCTTCTGTGGCCCAGTAGTCAAAACAACGATTTTTTTGGTATTTTCTCTAAGTTTCTCGTTTTTTTTTCTTTCTCTTCTTCATGAAAAAATAGTTTTTGTTTTTTATTTTTTTTATTTTTTTAGAAGAAGAATCTTGCAACATAATCGTTGTTCTGACCAGCCCCAGGTAGGTTAGGTAATTCAAGAGTTTTATGATTTTAATATCATTTTATCCGTCTAGTGCCATCTGGATTCCCCACTCAGGTCTCGATTTCAATTTCAACAGCGAATGA